TGTTTCGGCACCAGGTCCAACACAGTGTTGAAGACGCGCGACCAAGTTTCGTTTTCTGTCTCGGTGTAAGGAATAGAAGGTATCGGGTCGCCGTACTTGTAAGCGAAAGCAATTTCGGCAATGACCTTGCGACGAGCGCGATACTCTTTGTCGGCGAAGCCTGGATGATTCATGTCGAGATCCGGCTCGTACTTAGTCATTAGGTGGTTGCAATTGTCGAGATCGGAGGCGTGACGGGGAAACCAGGGATCTTTGATGCTGACGGAATTGTCGGCGAGCAGGTTTACGCCGTCCAAGGCCGAGCTTTGTCGTAGATTTCTAATCAACTGCAACAGACTCTGTCTGCTCATGTCAATCTTGACCAAGACCTCGAACTGCAGACCCTCCTTCTTGGAGGGCCGTGACTCGACATGAGTGATCGTGCCCTTGAAATTTTCGATTGTCTTTAGGATCCTGCCTAGAGAGCCGATACCCTCTCGCAATCTCAATACCAGCGCCGCTTTCTGCACGTTCTGCTCGCTATCCGGAGATTCGGCTATAGTTTTCGCGAGCACTACTTCCTCCTCGGTTAATCCGGCATCTGTGAAAAATCGAACATCGTCTAGCTCTTTTGCTTGATAATGACATCAAACATTTTTCTAAATGAACTCGAATTATCCGTCAAATAATTTTTCTTAAGATTTCTCTTAAAAAGACATCTCTTAAAAAGATTTTCATTTGCAAAGTAACATTGTTCTGTGGGACACTAGAATAACTTATTCGTGTACAATATTAATATAATTAAAAAAAAATTAAAATAAATAACTTTAATCTACGTCACACAACTCGTCTTTACATCTCGGCTATAAATCATAATTTGCAATTCGTTATTTGTTGCCACACTCTTAATTTGACAACTCAACATTAACAACGATTCGCGAATTTTTTCGACTAAATAAGACGAATAGTTCTTTGTTCTTCTATTTGTCTTGATCTATCGATTGAGAAATCAATACGTGTTATACAACTCGTTTGGTTAGACGACGAAGAAAACTCATACAAATACGGTTAGACGGAAACATAAACCAATGTCGGCCTTCTCGATCAATTATTAAAGACACTCTCGGTATATGTCGCGTGATCGAAATAATGAATTATCCGCAGGAAATGCGCGTCATCATTTATTTCACAGTTTTATGTAGATTTGACATTTGAGAAAATATGTACACGAGCGTTTTGATAATAGATAAAATAAGAAAAGCGCAAATTCGACTTATAAAACTTTCCCAGGAGCGATTCTTTTTAGGCATGATTTCTTGCAAGTACCCTAAGTGACTTCCGCGGTAATAATCGGGCAATTCAAAGTCCATTTTCGCATAGCGCTTTGCCGTCACGTCGGAAACGGTACCATCTACTTGGTCGCGGGGGCGGCGGAAAAGTGGTAAAAGTAGCCGTCATTGTCGCGGACGCGGACGTGCCGGTGAGATGGAAGGCAACGCGAAAAGGAATAACCGTGTTACACACACACACACACACACACACACACACACACACACACACACATTTACTGCGGCCACGCAGGGTCGCTTGTGAAATCTCGAGAAAGGCTCTGCTCCGGTAATACGATTCTAAATGCACAAAGCGGCTTCGGGGGGCGAAGACGGGTTGGAAAAAGACGGAAATAGCTCGGAGACGTAATTCACTCCAAGTGTCGGCCGAGCACTCGCCCTAGTCGACTGTCGACAATGGCGATCGTTTCACCCTCCATTTATCGTTACCTTCCTATCTTTCCATCGTATACCACGTCACGTGCGTACCCTCTTTGCACGCAATCACCCACTTCCTGTCTTACTTTTATTGCGCAATGTGACATTTTGCTAGAACTGGACGCAATTATGATCAAAGGAACAGAAGATGTACGTACCATCATCGTCATCATCATCCGGTTTTCCATCACTGTCTGATGAAGCCTCCGCTTTCGCTTCTGAAAGTTACAAGTTCCGTGCTCATGCTATATATATATATATATGCAACATTTATGCATTCTTGAATACTTGGTGGCAGATGCATTTGACGTCAATCAATTTCACATTATACATATTATGCACGGGGATATAGTAAACATTATAAATATTATGCACGAGGATTGTTACTACGTTAAATAAAGTTATCTTAATTATATTAATGATGGTACTCAATGCAATTATGTCCTATGCATATCACGCCTCCAATTATATATTCAAAGAACGTTATAAATTTGACAACATCTAGATACAAACCTTCCTCCTGCACTGCGCAAACTAATGATTCCACCTGTTCATCATCACTTGATGAAATGTCGATGTAATTATCTTCTTGTCCTTTTTTCTTAGTACAAGTAATTGTCTGATCCGCGTTCGTATCTATTCGATAACAAAGAAACACGTCATGCATTAACATGAGCATGCATATACATATATTACATACTCCTCTCTGCGCTTGTACAGCGTTAGCAAAGGGATATGTTTCATTTTTAAGATCATAATCTTTTATACAGTAAATCATGCGTATATATAGCAAATAGAAAAATATACATATCTATACATATCTATACGTCAAACATTGATGCGGTAATGGAGATTATATACTCGTATATGATAGTAAAAAGAATTAATCATGCCAGACATTCGTAAGACTTACCATTCGCTCGTTGTCGAGCTTCCTCGAGTACACTCTGCTTCGTCTGTTTGACGACGAGCGTTTCAAAACGGGCATCGTCTACGAGGGAACGTCGTCGCGCTGGATACCCGTTCTAAAAATATAAATTAAAAGTTCGATTTATATAAAATATCATAATACATTAAATTAAACCTGTAGAAAATTATGATAAAGTAAATTAATAAGAATATTGCTAAAAATATCTATATCATTTCTGTAATTAAATTCTAAGCACTGATGTACTGTTCTATTGTATTTTATTGCTGATGCACGAGCAATTATAGATAGAACTTTAAAGGGCGGATGTCCTTTCGTCTTGAGTCAAGTTCCGTTTTGTGTGTCTGCTCGTGGCCTTTGAGACGTGAGACGAAACGGAAATCTAACTCGTCAATTCGACCAAGTGTCACTTAAATCGGGTAACGAACAAAAGGCATGGAAATGAATTTTCGCGACTTCCGTCCTGCTCTGTCGTTGAAGTATAGGAAATGAATTAATTCTATCAGAGATGTAGAAAGGAGCTTGAGTATCAAGCTCAGTTCTTAAAAGGAGATAAATTTTATTTTTCTTATTGCTCTCTTAGTTAATATACTTTTTAATTACTTGCTTTTTGCAATTTGATGAAACATTTTTACTCGAGATATTTATATCCTTTTAGCTACATGAATTTTTCAGCAAAAATTTATTTAGAATTTTATTTGTGAGCAAAAAAATTCATGAGAAAATCTCAAGAGACAAAGACTTAAAATAGACGCGCGAACACAGACTTGGCGAAAACAGACAAGCGTGCGTTACCAATCATTCAAATTCCTGACTGTCGCCGCGAGTTGGAGACCCAGTTGCATTTTCCAGCAAAGTCATCGGTTGGCATAGTTTAGAGAAAGCGTTTAGCAATCTCCCTTAACAACGCGCGTCGTTAAGTGGGCCAAGTACTTTACCGATGGAATAGTTGACTATGTCGGGAAATTGCGACACAACGTGATAACATCGAAGAAACAGCAAATGCATGATAAATCTCATCCTAATAGATCGATAAAGTCACAAATTAATTAATGCCTATCGTAAAGCTGTCCGGAGTTGTCGACTATCGTACGGGAAAGTGACGAATATAGGCAAATATTTATCGACAGCTGATGTACAAGACGGTGACTGTCCATTCGAG